CCTACACCCCTGTGGTGTGCATGTACACCATGGTTCGGAGCTGGGGATTCTTTCCAATGCAATGAAATCTAAGAGATTCTCCAAGAGAGAGTCAACTCCCCTTTCAGCGACGTAAATTACGTCGCACCCCAGCGTAAACACGTGTTTTCAAAGTATTCCAAACCAGTGAAAACATGGAGGCTTGGGATTTTGCGTATGAGATAAACTCCGTCGGCCAACAGAAGAGCAGAGCAAAATGACCACTGCAGTCGAAGCACCCGTAACCTCAAACAAAATGTAGGATCACGTAGAAAAGCCTCACCGCCACCCATGCGGTGAATTCGTCGAGCCGTTGAAGCCGACTGGCCGAACTTATGGCTACCGGCTTGTTTGAAGGTAAGATATTGTGACCGGATAAAGCTTTGCATCGCATTTATTCGCATCGCGTTCCTTCGTACGCATACGTGCACAACTCTTCTTCATGCGTGTGCACCTATACTGGTGCGAATACGAGAACGTTTGTGGTTGGCCCGCGGGCCAACCACAAACGTTCACAAACCTGTTGCCGAGAACTTGGTTGGCTGAAGTTCGAACCAGTGCGTCACATGGATCATGTGGTACTCCTATCCCCAAAGCTGAAGTGCGCCTTAAAAGAGCTACTGTCTTAGACGTGATAGGGGAAAAACCAAATTTATATTATAACGTTTCATTGAACTTGTGGGATAATAGCTTCACGTTCGCAAATTTTTGCTTAGACAGAGCGTTTCAAGCTTTCGTAACATTTATTACAGAAACATGTTGACACATTGGTGTGTTGCAAGATTACGGAACACACACGTTGAAAAGTAAGGCAAATTAAGTGTATTGCTTTCATAGAGGTGAGCAGAGAGTCAGATAAGATTTCTCCCGCAGGTTCGGTAATTCAAATAAAAATTCTGAGTGCAAACAAATTATGGCATCGCTGATCAAATCGCGCGCGTGCGATGTAACAATAGGCAAATACTTAAAAATGTGGAATACTCCTTTTAAAACAAGCTCGGGCGGGGATCAAATTGACCCCGGCCTCGAGGGTTTTCTGGAATGTTTCCCGAACAGCATGGTGTAGCCGCACCAAACATTGCTTAGCTGTAGACAGTTGAATGGCGGATCGTGTGGTAGCCAAAAATTGGATGTGCCTTGTAAGTTTATTGATCTATAGCAGGTCAAAATCGGACCATGGATTCAGCGAAGTCAGTTTCAAGAGAATCGTTCAATCTGATTAAATGAACAATTAAATGACCAAATTCCATTGACCTAGGGTCATATATGAAGGTCAGACCAAGGTCAAGACCATCCTGTTTTATTACTTTAGGGCTTGCTGTCTGCGAAAGTTCCTGGTGCTCATTTCGAATGGATTATGGCAGGAACCGCATAACACATCTTGCATGGACTTCTTACAGGTCAGAATAGGTCACGGACCTAAAATGACCCAGGTCACCATTTCATTTTTAGGAACATGCTGTCTAGCTTTATCTTCGTGGCTTATTCAAATGCAAAACTCAAAGCAGCCTTCTACGATTTTGGTCACCATGACCTTCGAAAGCTAAGCAAGTTCAATGACCTTGAGTGAGCATGTGACACTTTGCTTAGAGCAGGTACCTAGGTTCTGAGGACACATTGGAGACCAACTTGAAGACTGACCTTTTTGACCTTATTTGACCCAAAGGTGTATCACCTACGAGGCTCAAACTTTGACTTAAGTGAGTTTACGTACAGGGCACCGCACCGTGTGAATTTGGTGTCTTGTCTCTACCCCTTTTACTTCCTGAGATCTCAGGGAGACCAAGCTGATCCCCACCCGAGCGAAGGGCATCCATCCGGCCACCCGGAGTCGTGGTAACACCGAGCAGTGGGCGCCTGAAGAACAGCCGTCATGCAATAATAATCTCGAACGTTTTTGAAATTACTCGGAACCGTTCGGAGGAATAGGCTGGGCTTATGTTTAAGCCTATCATTTCATACTGTTCCCTCAACTGAGGGAAACACGAAAGTAGAGATTCCATCTTTTCTTGCCTAGTTCCATCAATAAAGTCCACCACCTGGACACAGTGCAGTAACACTCCGTTCCTCTCCGTTAATCCCCTTCACTTGCAAATCTATAAATGCACATGTGAGACGTACTCTCGAATTGCCTTTTAAACGCACGAATAGACATCCTAAATCGCTGAAAAGCGCTTCTTTCAAAAGCGTTATAGTTTTCGTCCACCCGCTGGCCACTGTCCCACGTAAACCGTGGTCCAACGCCGCGCGGCCTCTGGAGACTGCAACGCCGGGAGCCTGCGTTGTTGTTCGGACTTGCGAGCATGCAAGGTCAGAACTGAAATAAAAATTTTCAACTTTTCGATTCTGAACAAAGGTTGAACACTTCTAGACGAGCATGAGCTTGTCATGTCAATGCAAATTTATGACCTTATTTCGATCTACAACCTACGTCCACTATCACCTATTCTCACAAATCTGTGTGCAGCCCAGAAAAAAATTAGGCGCAGTTCCTGTGTGCTACTGGCTTAGAAAACTCCATTGAAGCATTTTTTTTAATGAAGAACACCGTCAGAATATGGTTCCTTAAGCTCTCTGACTTTAAAATAAAAGCAGAATTGTATTTTCCGGTGGTTTTTGGCTTTTGTTTCAGTTTATGACAAAGATGGAAACACAACGAAGAAAATCGCACCCCTCAAAATCAAGTGGGAAAATCCTGTATTTCATTCGTTGCATTTTTTTGTTTTTAGGGTGCTTTGACAAGGGGGGGCCGTATGTAAACCATGTGTCTTTCCCACATCGCCAAGACCCTGGCTGCGCCCCTGCGTGGGCGAGCTCACTGGCCATCAAGAAGGCGTATATAAATGTAATCTCATGACCGCTGAACAGCCAGCACAATTAACAGCATTGTTGCAACCAGCCTGTGTTCCTTATAGCATTTCCATGGCAGGTGTTTCATTTGTCATACGTTCGACTGAGCCAGCAGTAAGGGGCAAAGTCAGCTGATCCACGCCTCGTATTCGTGTACACGACGTGGGTGCCCGCATCGAGCTACCCTGATGTTGTCTGTTCTCTCCTTCGTCAGGCTGAGTTGGTGATGTGTCGTTGAGACCCGAGCTGGAGGGATCTAGAGGTGGATTTTTCCTGCACTTTTGAGCCTTCTCGCAGTAAGCACATACTAATTGAAATAAATTGGGAGGTGACGTTTTGGTAACATTTCGATGTCGCAAAAAGCATGACCAAATATCTTAAACGCAGACTTGCCTAGAATATTTCAGAGCGACTTTAAGATATCTGGCGGGATTGTTCCTGCCAGTGGTGCATGTATGGCCATGTGATGAACAGCTGAGGGTCAGTCACTCCTGAAAGGGGCGCAGTCGTCCCATCTGCCCCAAAAATGCGGCATTTCGCGTCACACCGACTGGGCCAAGGCTATGCATTGGCTGCACCCACCTCAAATTTGCCATGACATGCGTCGGACGTTGCTGCACATCTTCCGATTTGTGCGTCGGTTACCACACTGATTGTGTGGTATCCGATCGCTTACGCTGTATTTTGCGCTCCTGCAGTTTTTTTCTTCAACGTGGCCGGCCGGTCCATCAAACATCGCGGCGCAGCATTCGCACCATAGTGGTATGGAGCTATGTGCAAAAGTTCGCTCCACACAATTGGCACTCTCGTTCGTCGGCGGCAACTCTGGTTGAAATGATCGTTTAAGGAATCACAGTTTTCTTTTCATCGAATAATGAAGTTCGCCAACTTTTGGGTGCTAGTCTCAATCACCATGGGATACATCTTACCATTTTGGCACTTCTTCGCGCAAGCTGATCTTGATTTACTTCAGTAATCTTCCGATCAAAATCTGCGTAAAATCGGTAACAGAATTTACGTGCAGCACACCTCAGTTCTGGCAGCTCAGAGACAGCCCGTGCCAAAGAGACCCACGCTCCGTGGTGTGCAGACCACGAAAAAAGCACAAAATGCCGGTAAGGGCGCGCACTCGTTCACCGTGGCCTACGGCTTTCTATACATGCCCCACCACGTGGTATAGAGGAGACATGTCCCGCAACTCGGCCGAATTTTCTATTCCATATGTGTGTGTTGCATGAAAAAATATCTGAGAAGCCTTGATGACCGCCAGCTTTGACCCTTGGCCGTATTCCAGGCACTCGCAGTAATACTATCAAACAGCATTAACACCGTAGGGAATGCTTTAAATTCCCCCGCAGCATCTGTCTTAATTATGCAGCAAGAACGCCTGCCATCGCCATTCGTGTTTGCGCTGTAGCACCATAGATTGCAAGACGGCTGTCCTTCTCCATTTGAGTAATTACTGATGGCCACGGCAGGAGCCGCGGCCAAGCGATTGTTGATCGACGTTGATGATCAAGGGCGTATATTTTGCACGATTACGACTGTTTAAAGCATAAAGCATGCAAATCAGAAGCTCTTTTGAGAAAAAGCCCAGTGGCACCTAGCTACGGTGGAAGAATGCAATGTTTGGACACTGATGTGCTTATGAATGGCGAACAACGAATTTACGAATTTACCTTTCCTTATGTGCACTGATTACGGCGACAATTCCGTGGCCGGTTCGAAAGTTTGTCTGGCCCGGTTCGGCTCGGCTCGGCTCGGCTCAGCTCGGCTCGGCCGACTCGGCTCTGCTCTGCTCGGCTCGGCTCAGGTCGGCTCGGCTCGGCTCGGCTCTGCTCGGCTCGGCTCGGCTCGGCTCTGCTCGGCTCGGCTCGGCTCGGGTCGGCTCGGCTCGGCTCGGCTCGGGTCGGCTCGGCTCTGCTCGAGTCGGCTCGGCACGGCGCGGCTCGTCTTGGCTCGGCTCGGCTCGGCTCGGCTTATCTTGGCTTGGCTTGGCTTGGCTTGGCCTGGTTTGGCTTGAATTCTCTCGGGTTGGCTTAGCATAGTTCGGCGGTGCTCCTGCTCTCAAAAGTGAGTGATGTGGACTGTAGAGGTATTACCGAAAATACTTACGCAGGCTATGTACTCACATGGCTTTACGGTCTGGGCAGCAGACAGGTAGGCTTGGCTGGCAGTTAGCACCACTATCATAAGCTTGTATGACCTGAAACGAGACCAGCAGAACGATACGTGATGCGTTCGCTTCAGAGAAACGAAAGTTGGTAAAGTTAATGATCTAGGATGCCTCCCTGCTTCATAGGTTTTATATTTCAAGACTTTGTACTCTGGTGCGGTCGTACAAAGAAAAGAAACGGCAGAGGTGGTGAACGGTTTGGCAGAGCCAGGATATGGGAGCAGAGTCATCAAGCAGCTTTGTCAGCGTGGAATTTCCGGGACAATTATTTGCAGCATTTGGAGTACCTGGTCCATGCAACTATGCAATGCTGCAATTTTTAAACGTGAACTGGCTATCGTTGTTCAACGATAACCTGTGCACGAGCAAAAAGTTAGTAGCCGATTCGAGACATTCGACCCATTCATCATGTTCGAAAACCAATGCATGTTATGTGCGACCGAGGGCGTTAAGAGCCAAATTTGAACATGGATATTTTTGATCATGATAACGATAATAACGATAGCGAATAAATGATTCGATGCCTCCTGTGACATGACCAATAAGCATCGCATCATCTGCAACATATGTGCATCACCGCAGCATAGCAAAAGTTGTCCCTCACATGAAAGACCGCGCTATGCAGGCTTCTAAAATCAGTCTCGTTTTGCATCGTCTTTTTCATCTGACAATGATCGACTTCCAATACACCCGAAGGTGCTGATTAAGTGAGATAATGGTGCAAACAGAGGTTTAAGTGTTCAAGTTTAAAACAGAGTCTTAAGAATGTAACCAATGTTTGCTCTGTAACTCGATTAGCCAGCACCCATGGTATACTGGAGGTCGATTAACGTCATCTCGAGGACTACGTTCATAACGCCGAGAAAACAGCAGCTCAAGGTCTTTTTTTACTAAATATCAAGCACATCTTTCTTGGTTTACTTTAAAGCGTACGTCTGAAATATATGGTTTGAAGACCGGGAAGTGGTGTCTGTTTCTGCATATTGCATCAACCAAGCGACGTGCTGCAAAATGGATTCATTTTCGACTTTGCCAGACCATGGGCTTCCATATGAACAGCGACCTTGCAATGCTATGTTGGATATTGAATAACGTACGATGATGGCTAATTCGAACAAAACATTCGGCACATTCGTAATAACTGACATTATTATTTTTCATTTCGATTTCCATTCCCATTCGAGACGTTGAACACAGGTGACATTTGGAAAAGTGCGCATATTATGTGTGATCTGTGGTAAAAGAAGCCGAAATTTCAACCTAGAAGCCTTTGCTTTTGCGGGAATTCGACACACAAATAGCATTTAACCAAAAAAAACTAACATCATCTGCAACGCAACTATTTCTGCAATATGTGGACTTATTGATTGAAGACATTCATGTAGAGGTATAATATGGCAAATTTACCACTCATTTGGAAGCAAGTGGCATGTGAAGACAACACTTTATGGTTTTGACATAACGCTAAGTTTTTACAGCACTCGGAAAAAAATACTGCTCTACCGTATCTATGTCGTGCATTTGAAACCTAGACATCAAAGCGCACTACATATATACATATACATGTATATATATATATATATATATATATATATATATATATATATATATAACAGCCCGCTACATTCGAAACCGCGCTGTTGAACCTCAGGATGAATTGAAGGGACAAATGTACCGATCTGTTTTGAATACTTTTAAAGACGACGTACACAAACGCTGGTACGTCGTGTTTATTATGTCAACGGGCGTCCAAAGACGATCAACCGCCTCATGGAAGAGAAGATACGCCACGGGCAATTACTCGACATTAAAGGCGTCAAATGGCTGCAGTCATGAAAGCGACATTAACGTCAAACAAAGTACAAAGGAACAGCAACAGTGTTGTTGCTCTTCAAGGACATAACAGTTACTTTCTTAAGTTACTAGGCTCTCGTGGCAAAGGACGCGGGTCAAGCGCTGAGACTGGAACTCTGACCGAGCCAGCAGTAACACCCCTGGAATGCGAAGCTTCCCAACCGGGGCTCAGTCGGGTTTCGCGCGCTAACATCGGCGTGCAGGCGCCGGGCACCCGAGGGAACTCCGCTGTTTTCTCTCCGGCGTGGGACGATGCAACCGACAGGCTGGCGAATCTCGGTTCGCAGATGAGTAATAACTGACTGGCACAAATGTACACAAATAGTGCGCCGGGTTCAAATGCCCGGTTATCAAAGTAGCTGCATATGTGTACGAACGAAACACAACATTAGCGAATGTTAATGGAGGCGTAAGAACGCGCGATGCTGTTTTACGCTATGCAACAAATTGTGCGCGCCAGTGGTCCGATAACTAGGTTTTCAAACTGAGCTATGCCTCCCCCGATCACAAAGCTTTGCATACTTACTGCATGCTCTTAGCACTAGACTTGGACAATATTAAAGCATTGAACTAGGTTACAAAAGCAATCACTTGATGACTACTCGATGATCCGAAACCGGTGCAGGCTCAACATAGGTGTGTCAGACCGCAAGCGGCGCTACAAACGTGAACATGGGCGTAGAACAGGGGGGGGGGGGGAGGGGCAGGGGGCCATACCTGCCGCCTTTTGCGGATAGTAATCACTAATACAGAAGCGATGCATGGAAAAAATCGACTACAAAATTGGATTGGCTCCCGCTCTTTCTGAAACGTCGGTTACACTCCTACACCTGGAGGCAGCCTCTCTCACCGCATGACGGCGCCGGCGCGGTGCCCCGCGTGTGGTGCCTCTGACTCGGCCGCCCGCTCGACAGTGACCGCGACCGCCGCCGGCACCGCCGGCTATCGATCACCGGCCGTACCGCACGCGTCGCGAGAAGCGGCCGTGCCATTACGGCACATTGTCGCAGTGAAGGCCGCTTAGCGAGCGTTTACACGGCTGAAGGGTTGCGCCCGACACGCGACGGCGGATAAATCGGCCGCCTTTGACGCGTCGGCGCCCCTGGAAACGCGATCAACACGCGGCGAGGTGGTGCCGCAAGGAGCTCGACGCACGCACAGCCTGCTGCCGCTGCTGCTTCTGGAGGATTCGCAGAATTATGGATTAGGCCGCGCCATCTTAACGACCCACTTGCTGAGAACACTTGGTACGCTATTCACACCACACAGCCATGAACAAGCCGGCGGCACTTCGGGTTCCCTGTACACCTGCAGGAAAAATGGGCACCTCATCGCACTAATGGCCAGTTCTGCTTCGCTGTGATCTCCCCTTCATTTGGCCGTGATGCGTTTCAGGAAATAAGCATTCACTGACGCAACAGGACTCAGGACGGTCTGCAATTCTGCATGTTGTCTTAATCATTTCAACGCTTGAGAGTTGAGTCTGAATGTGAAAATTGAGCCAACAAACTGATGTCAGCGTACTGCCATTCGTTTTTGATCCGCACACAGTCGTGCAGGTCCAAAGGTCAGAATTACAATAAATGTGTGTGGTCGTGCTTTCGGTCCACTTCATCAGTGAAATTCATCGATCTACCATGGGTTATTGAGGGAGGGCCAGTCCCTGCACGATCTCCAGTGCATCGCTAACATCACTTCCTCCCCGTCAATCTCTCTGGGCGTGCCATTCACTAAAAGGAAAGGAGCCCGCAACCTAGCTGTCGTTACGTTCAACTACGGTGTTCTGTGATTTCCTCGCTCCACTGAGCGTTGCGTAGCGAGGATGCGAGTGCAGGGACGGCAATCTAGACAATGCCAGGCGATTGGACACTTACAAAGCTCGGTGATTGCTCACCAGGCTGCTCATCCTGCGTAAAGCTGTGTGAAACTGAAAAGCTGCATGTAGTAATGCGTATTCATTAGCCCCACAACCTGAATGCACCCGAGCTGGTAGGAAAGCAGCCGTGGCTTGGCAAATGGTGGGTGCCCACAGGCGGATGCACGTCCAACAGATTTGATGACCGCTGTTATGTGAAGGGAACACTGATCTCATCGGAGGTCTCTAGTCATCGCATAGCAGGCATAGCGTGGCATAGCAGGTGAGTGTGCGACTTCCAAAGACTGCTGATGCGGCTCCACGGGTGATCGTCAAAGACGCTGGAGCCGTCACGGGTCTCCGGGTCTGCTGGTCAGGCCGCGCGACGTCACGGGGACGATGTAAGGTCGACACCTCCTCAAAGTTGTCCACGCTGACGTGTTGACAGAAGTGCTTGAAAAGGGCTTAAAAGGCTGTCCAATGAATCAGTCTTCGGCGCTTTTGCCGTCATGTGATCAAACAAGTTTTATCACGAGCCCCAAGGACCCCTGAGCACATAGGCGATCTATATGCCGTCAAATCGTCTGCTGGAAAATGCAACGCGGTACCCGGATTCAAAACTATCTGCTGGACCATGCCACAATCTACGACTTCCTGCTGCGCAGAGCTCGGAGCTACCCGGATCCCGCAAAGTTCAGGATTCCAGAGGGTCTGATGATTACTGACCTTATGACCTAAAGCACAAGCATTTGGAGACACTCCGCCGTTTCAGGCGGACTAAATGTCAATAGAGAACTTGCCTAGGCTGCTGAGTGATCGAAACTTTGCAAGTGTTCAGATGGAAGACAAGGGTGTCACTGGTGGAGTTTTTCAGAAACCTCAATGCTGCGGTGCACGGATCCGTTCCGCACTTTGCAGTCTTGCGTGACGAAATGGGTCCGGATCCGGATCTTTGAACCCGACGCAACGCAATGATTTTCCAGTAGGTACGATTTGTTGAGCGCATTTGAAGGAAACCTTCCAGAACTCGCACAACAAACACCAGTTCTCATTGGTATAAAATTCTTTTATTTGGCGATTAACACTAACAATGTACAAAACCTAGGTATGATGAGATGATGAGGAGGCCACCATGTTGGCCGTCGGCCAGCTTGTACGGCGGCCATCCGTGCGCGCGCACGCGCCTCCACTAGTAACAGATGTACCCCATATACGTAACGAAAGACTGACGCGGTGGTCTCGGCCGGAGCGGTGTCAGCGCGCCGCATCCTGACCGGGGCGCCGCGGCCCTATCACGTGCGGCGGCCGGCGCTCGGCCGGCGCCGTCAGACGCGCGACTCCAGCGGCAGCGGCTGCAGCGGCAGCAGCTCCAGGCCCGCCAGGCAGGAGGTGGGCCGCACGGCCGCGCCGTCGCCGTCGCCGCTCGCCTCCGTCCGGCTCGCCGCCAGAAACAGCCGCACGAACCGGTCGATGTCCTTGGAGCCGCCGACCGTGTGGCGACGCTTGAGCGCGCGCGGCGAGCCGTGCGCGGCGCGCGCACGCGTCGGCTCGGCGGCGCGCTGCTCAAACCGCTCGCGGATGCTGCGCTTCATGCCCTTCTTGGCGTCAGCCGTGGGCGGGCGGCGCGGCGGGGGGCGCGCCGGCGCGCCGACCGGCCGCTCGCCGCCCGCGCAACCGTTCATCATCTGCGGCAAGAGCGAGGCGTCAGTGCCGGATGACGTTCCCGACAACAGGCTTCCAGACTCGAGGGGCCGCGGCGAGGTCAGGGTCGCGAACCCGTGCCGGTCAAACCTCACCGCAACTCCGACGTCCACGACCATTCCTGTCTCAGAGCTACACTTGGATAGCACAGGTCAGGGCGAGGCCACCGCCCCCCCCCCCCCCCAGCCCCGCGCGCTGCCAGACCGCTAACCTGCAGCTGACTGCTGGCGCTGAAGCTGCGGTGCAGGCTCGGGTCGCGGTACATGCCAGCGCTGCTCCACGAGCTACGCTTCTCGGTCGCGTCCGGCCGGCCGGCCAGCTCCAGCAGCTTCTGGTCTAGCGTCTGCACCAGCGACGCCACCAAGTCACAGCCCTCGGCCGACAGCTCGGGCGCGTCCATCTCGGCTGCCGGCGTGTCCGGCGACGAGTCCTGCCGCAGCGGGCCGGCGGTGAGGCGGACAAGCCGAGCTGTCTCAGGGCAGCGTCGCAACGGACAGGCGAACCAAGCAGCTGAGAGGCGTCTGATCCGTGAAACGCTATCGCTACGTCACATCATTTCACTCACAACGCAGCACGTTAGCATCGCAAGTTCTGCCCCGTCCGTTAGATTGACGGCAGTGAACATGAAGAGCCAGTCAAACAGTTTCTGATGCCACCATTCCGCATGCTCCTAGCGACGCTCGCTCAGGCCGAGGCCACCACAACCGAGATCGTCGCCCGCTAGGTTGTCAGCCGCCGGACAGGCGGGCTGGCGCGCGCTCACCTCCTCCTTGCTGGAGCCGCGGCGACGTAGCGTGCCCTTGAGCGCCACCTTGAGCGGGTCGAAGGAGCGCGCCTTGAGCGCCATCTCAGAGCGCTTGAGCTCCACCTTGCGGCTCTGGTGGGCGGCTACGTCCTCGGCCGAGCCGCCGCGGCGCACGGGCCGCGGCGAGCGGTACAGCCGGCCGCTGGAGGTCAGCCAGCGCGCGCGCCCCGACTCGCCGCCCTCGGAGACGCGGCGCGCCTCGCGCGCCGCCGCCGGGCTGCCCGGCCGCAGCGCCAGAGGGCCGGCGCGCGGCGGCAGCGAGTCGGCGCGCGCGCGGCCCGGCCGCGGCCCCGTGCCCGACGACATGGTCGAGTAGCCGGAGCTGAGCGTGTCCCAGGCGGCGGCGGCGGGCGGGTGCGGCGGCGGCGGCCGCGAGCCCGCCGAGCCGTCCGAGGCCACCGAGAGTCGCTCCTCGCGCTCGGCGTCCGGCAGCCGGCCGGCCAGCTCGGCCATGTGACGCGCCACATCTGTCGCACGCGGACAGCGTCAGCGGCCGCGCCGGCGCCAGAGCAGCCACAGGGGAGCGCCGCCAGCCGCGGCAGCCGGGACCGGCAGATACGACAGCGCGGGAGCTCAACAGGTGAGCCATGTTACGAGAGAGGGCCAGCCGGCTCAGACCGATCTAGAGCAGTACAAACCGGGCATATATCAGAGTGGTATTCCACTGGCTGACTTGTGGATATGCGGTTAATGTTTGTAAAAAGGCAACGAATCATTATCACGTAGCGGTGGTCAGACGCATGTTAGCTGGCGTTGTAGTGTTAGAGATATGTTATGTGCACGCTCATGGTGCGGTAAAGTGCATTTAAGACAACAAAACACACTCGACAATATATCAATAAACGTAACGATTAGTGGACACAAATTCATACCAACCAAACGTTTAATAAAATCCCTCTGTACACAAAAAGAGATGTCATTGGGCAGCCAGTGAGCATCAACGCTGCTCTACTAAGCTCGGGGCGGGCGCACGGTCCTCAGTGAAGATCGGTTCAGCCAGGTCAGAGTGCGTCAGCTAGGCTATCGGTGTACTACAGCAGCAACAAAGCTGGTCTCGGACCAGCCACACCCACTCACACCCACACACAAACAGACACGGCAGCGGCGCGCGCGCGCGCTCTGGCGCGGGCGCGGTGAGTAACGTCACCTGGGGCGCGCCGGCCCAGTGCGACGCCGCCGAGGGGCGCTAGCGGCGGCCGGCGGCCAGGCCTACCCGCTAAAAGGGTACCACACGCCTAGACACCAGAGGGCGACAGAGACACAGGCTATAGACCGGTGCGCAGGTGGACAGAGCGGGCGTCGGCGGCGCGCGGGCAGCGGCGCGGCTCAGACGCCCGGCCGGCCGGGAGGCGGGCTCGGTGCGCGCGCCAGCGTGGTGCGGGCACACTCTAGAACGCGCGGCGGCCGGGTCACCATCGGCCGTCACCGAGACGGAGCGTCACGGCCGCGCGAGCCGCACAGGCACCGACGGCCGGCGACAGACACGGACACGGAGAGACAACAGCCAGAGCTATCGGTGCGGCCGGATGGTCGAGGTCGGCCAGCCAGAGCAGCTCAGCCACCGAGTCGGACACGGAGCACAGTCAGACTGAGGTGCCGTCGCACAGTGCGTGTCTAATTAGTGTACTCGCTGGCGACTGCATTGTTTCTCGCCGAGCCTGAAGTAACCAACGGACCGCCCAACACCACACAAAATCGCCAATTGTGTCGGCATGCCTTGGCTTTCTGCATGTTGCGTGGGAATTTTAGGAGTGAGGTACAATGTTTCTGAAACCTCTTTCATGTTTCAAAAATCGGCCACCCGTAGGCCATTGTGGTCTGTACAATGAGCAACAAAGTATGGTGGTCGTAAACAGCCTGGAGCAAGCTAAATTTCCAAGCGGCGTCCTAATAAGAGAAAAGCGAGTAAGAAAACAATCACTCCACACCTCAACCAAATAACGAAAGACGTGAAATACAACCATTGACAGACAGCCTATTCAAATACAAAACACAGTGAGAGCCTTGCCATTTCAGCTGTCATGACACCACCTCGTTCGCACAGTGTTAGACATTGTCTCTTTAGACCTCCCACCTTGCCCACGGCCCGACTCGTCCCGGAGACCTAATACGACCCGGCGAGCGGACCGGAGGAGGCCAGCAGCGGCGCCTTCTCACCTGCCGGGTTGTCGGCCAGCTCGTCCAGGAAGTCTGGCTGCTCCAGGTCCTGTTTGGCGCGCGCCCACTCTCGCTCGATGCGCGCCCGCTGCAGGTCCAGGTCCTTAGCCTCGCACTCACTCTTCAACTTTTCCCTGTTGCGGCGAGAACGTCCGAGCAGGTCAGCACCGGTTAGGTCAGGTTAGCACCGGCCAGGTCAGGTCAGGCCAGCACCGGCCAGGTCAGCACTATTGCAATAGTAATGAGACCCATCTTCTGCATTAGTCAGACACGCCGGGACAGCAATCTCGCAAAACCCCACCACCAACGAGACAGAGTAGACATGGGCAGAGCATGACGTCGGCAGCCCGGGCCGCCACTCACGCCGGCGCCTGCCGCACCCCGGCTCACCTCTGCAGCATGGCGCGCAGGGTCTCCTCCTCAAAGCGCCGGATGCGCTCCTGCGTGGTCTGCGAGAGGCCGGCGTAGCTGGGAATGGCCGTGTCGTCCTGCGGCGGCGCGTCCGGCCCGGCGCGTCCCAACGACGGCAATGACTCCGAACTGAGACGGGGGGGGGGGGGGGGGGATGGTTACGGCGGGCGGCGCACGGGAAGCGCCACTGGATTACGCGGTGGGAGTGGGGAGGGGGGATGCTTCGCCTCCACCCCGCTTCGCAACGGCTCCGTATGACGAGGTAGCAGGTCTGGGTCGGCGGCAGCAGTGGACACAGCTGCATCACCGGCCATTGTCGCTCGGACTGGCTGCCAGATCACTGCACCACACGGTCGCGGTTGCTGGGAGCCATTGGTCTTTCACAGATCACTGCATCACACGGTCGCGGTTACTGAGAGCCATTGGTCTTTCACAGATCACTGTATCACACGGTCGCGGTTAACTTGGAGCCATTGGTCTTTCACAGATCACTGCATCACACGGTCGCGGTTACTGAGAGCCATTGGTCTTTCACAGATCACTGCATCACACGGTCGCGGTTAACTTGGAGCCATTGGTCTTTCACAGATCACTGCATCACACGGTCGCGGTTACTGAGAGCCATTGGTCTTTCACAGATCACTGCATCACACGGTCGCGGTTAACTTGGAGCCATTGGTCTTTCACAGATCACTGCATCACACGGTCGCGGTTGACTGGGAGCTATTGGTCTTTCACAGATCGCTGTATCACACGGTCGCGGTTGACTGGGAGCCATTGGTCTTTCACAGATCACTGCATCACACGGTCGCGGTTGACTGGGAGCCATTGGTCTTTCACAGATCACTGTATCACACGGTCGCGGTTGACTGGGAGCCACTGGTCTTTCACAGATCACTGTATCACACGGTCGCGGTTGACTGGGAGCCATTGGTCTTTCACAGATCACTGTATCACACGGTCGCGGTTGACTGGGAGCCATTGGTCTTTCACAGATCACTGCATCACACGGTCGCGGTTGACTGGGAGCCATTGGTCTTTCACAGATCACTGCATCACACGGTCGCGGTTGACTGGGAGCCATTGGTCTTTCACAGATCACTGCATCACACGGTCGCGGTTGACTGGGAGCCATTGGTCTGTCACAGATCACTGCATCACACGGTCGCGGTTGACTGGGAGCCATTGGTCTTTTACAGATCACTGCATCACACGGTCGCGGTTGACTGGGAGCCATTGGTCTTTCACAGATCACTGTATCACACGGTCGCGGTTGACTGGGAGCCATTGGTCTTTCACAGATCACTGCATCACACGGTCGCGGTTGACTGGGAGCCATTGGTCTTTCACAGATCACTGCATCACACGGTCGGGGTTGACTGGGAGCCATTGGTCTTTTACAGATCACTGTATCACACGGTCGCGGTTGACTGGGAGCCATTGGTCTTTTACAGATCACTGCATCACACGGTCGCGGTTGACTGGGAGCCATTGGTCTTTCACAGATCACTGTATCACACGGTCGCGGTTGACTGGGAGCCATTGGTCTTTCACAGATCACTTTATCACACGGTCGCGGTTGACTGGGAGCCATTGGTCTTTCACGGCCCGTCAGCTTACGCTGTACCCTAACGACTGTCAATCGGACAATGCGTGCAACAGGACAATAAATGCAGCAGCTGCAGAAGACTTATCTGCCTCACTGCTACGCCAGTGCGGCAACAAACCAGAGCGTGATGACAGCAATCGCTGCATTGAGCGCCTTCAGGCCGAGAGGCAGCGCTCGGCGTCCCGGCTCCGGACTGTGCCGTGTGCCCTGCCCCACCCCGCCGCCCGCCGGGGCCGGCGTCTCACCCGTCGGCCGGGGCGTGCTGGGCGGCCTGCGGTGGCTCCTCCGCCAGCCGGATCGGAATGACGTGGACCCGCCCGGCGCCGTCAGCTGCGCCGACTGCGCTCGAGGCAGAAAGTGCCCGCTTGATTTGGTTGTTGTTGCACTCGGAGGCTGAAGAACGAGCGCCGAGGGGCGCCGCCACCTGGAGGACCACGGCACGTGACGTCACCACACGCACGTGACGTCACACCACCGGCGGACGGCCTGTGGGGCGCGACCACCCAGTCGCACTCACCAGCCAGTATCGACACCGCCGACAGCTCGGCTACAGTCCATGCGGTGTGTCACCGACCAACTCGACAACAAATCTAGTCCGCTCGACGCGTAAAACCCGGCCCTGGCCACGACGGCGCGCCCGTGCAGCGCCGGGCACGGCGGCACTGAGATGACGTACCGCCGGCGCGCAGTCAGCTGGCTCCTGCTCCGCCGGCCGCGCCTGCTGCGACTTCCTGCTGGCCGCCAATATAATACTGCTGGCTATGACCTTGGGGTCCATCGGGAAGCCCTGGCCTGCAAGAGACGCGCCGGCGCCTGTCAGGGCCCGCCGGCCGCGCCGACGCCGCCCGGCTACGCTACCGCGTGCCACTGGAGACACCGCTACACAAAACACACGCCTCAATAGACCGCAAAAACAGCTGCGACGTAAAACGCCGGAAAAAATCGCGAGGTTGCGTGGGACTAGTGAAAACACCACCGGAGTGGTCCCGGAATCTGTCAGTCGTGCTCATACAAATGCGAACACATCCACCGCGAGAGACGGACACAGGAGGGTCTAATCCAGGAACATTACGCGTACGCAACATCCTCCGCTTCTTTTCCCATCATCTGCTACTGCGGTAGGGAACACGATGCATCTGTACAGAGGCCCGTCGGCCGGGGGAATGTCCGCGTGTTCGGGCGGCGGCGTCACTCACTGTCCATGCGCTGGACGGTGCTGAAGAGCGGGCTGTGGTGTGGCGCCGGCAGCACGGGTGCCGACAGCGGCGGCGAGCTGTCGGGCAGCGGCGGCGGCTCGTCGGCCGCCTCGTCCGTCTCGTCCGCCGGGAAGAACCAGTCGTACTGCCGGCGGCCACGGCCCGGTCAGGACGGGTGGCGGGCGATGTCCGTGCTCGCCACATGCTCACAATGCGGGAATGTCACCAGCTGTGGTGGGAGAGTGTGGACAACCGAGCGGTGACGGGGGGTGGTCTGCCACCGACGACAACACCACAGACAGCTCAGCCTCAGGGGGAGAGGGAAACTCCAGAAAACGTCCCCGCCCAGCCCTCCTGTTCACTTCCGACGCGGTTTACAAACCATCGATACCTCAATCACGGAGAATCAGCCGAAAACGAGCAGTCACGCTGACCGACCTAACCCATGGTCATGCCTCGGACCCACGTCCTACTCCCCGCGTCGCTCACAGCCCGCCTGACCGGCGCGTTAGGCTCCGCCCGGCGTGGCGCCGGTCCCGCCCTGCCGTGATGCCACGCCCACCTCGCTGATGAGAGTCTTGACGATGCCGCACTGCTGCGACATGTCGGTGACGAGCACGGACGTGCTGTCGTCGGAGGAGCGCACCAGCGTCGGCCCGAACACGATTGCCAGGTTCTTCAGGTCCATCTTGTTCACGTGGCTGTGCTCGGTGACGCGGCGCAGGTGGCGCAGCAGGTACTTGAGCGTTTCGTAGTTGTGGTCGGGCAGCTCCTGCACCTGCGGACGGGCGGACGGACGGGCGGCGGTGAGGGCGGCGCCGTGGCGGGCGGGCCGCGCCCGGGTCGAGCCGGTCACTGATCCCATCGCCGTGACAGCGGACGGCGCCGGCTCCGTGGGACAATCGGAGATGTCAGAACGAGATTTGACGCTTCGAGTGAAAGCGGCAAGGCCAGAGAAAGTGATACCCTTCTGTTTAAACACCCAAGCGCGCGCGCACATACGAAGATCTCCGCGACTTGCTCGGCCGACTGACCAGTTTGCGCAGCTGCAGTCTGCGCCGTTCGGGGTCCTCAATCTTGCTCGTGTCGATGAATTGCGGGTACAGCTCGATCGTCACCAGCGAGTCGGGCAGCTTGCGGAAGAACGACTTCAGCAAGGAGGAGATCACGTTGACATCTGTCCAGCGCGGGTCGGCCTGTCGGGTCAGACTGCGTCAGACTGCGCCAGACTGCCGCTGGACGGCCGGGTCAGACTCCAGATCGGGCCGGGTCATGCTCAGACTCCCAGCCTGCGGCAGGCCAGGCTCGAGTCCACTCTAACACAGGACACGCGGCCGGCCGGCAATCACGCAGAGGACGGGCAGATCAGTCTGCACGCTCTCCTCGTGCTGCTTTGGGTGACTGATTTCGATTAACTGCAGTCTTTTAAATCAGCACTCAAAAGCTCCTTACGTACTGAAAACGGGCATTTAGAAACAGCCACCCGTCAACCATTAAAAAGAACCACCTGTCAACCCCATCTGTCAACCATCAGAAACAACCAGCAGGGCCGGTCAGCGCCCTGCGCCGACGGCGGCGGCAGGCCCACCTGCAGGTTGACGGAGTGGATGCCACGGTTGACCGCCTCCGAGAGACTCTTGATGGCGGCGTTGTTGCCCGGCACGCGGTAGAGGCCCTCCGTGTCCAGGCCGCGCTCCTCCACCAGGCTGGTGCACATCTCCACCAGCGCCGGCACCAACTCGTTGCTGGTCGACTGCGGGCAGAGACGCGCCAGGGGGCGCTTGAGGCCGCGTTCCCGCCGGCCGGCGCACCAGCGGACCATCACCGTCACTCGGGGCGAAGGAACGCGCCGCCGATGACGCCAACAGCTGACAGCGATCAATAGCTCATGCGTCGTGGCGCCCGTTTCGAGACAACGTAAAACGCAACGTTCATAATAAAAAAAAATGGTGGCAATGCTACAAGAGCCACAAAATAAGGCCAGCCTATCGGTTGGGACACGTTTGAGACCAGCTGGTTGTTTGCTAAGCTGGTGCGTGGTCGGAGGTGGGCTACCGACACCTCACATCGGCCCGCCGGCGGCGGCGCCGAGGGGCCTGCACAGCCGGGGCAGAGTCAGCGAGGCCAGACGGCGAGAGATGAGCTTGGGGCGAGCCGGGGTCACGCTCGAGTTCAGACCGGGCCGGGGCGGGGCGGCAGGCCGTACCGGCGGGCACAGGTGCAGCGGCACGCCCAGCGTCCAGCCGTCCGGCACCGCCTGCACGGCCGGCGCCAGCGGCGAGCCCACGTGCATCTTCTTCAGCTGGCGCGCCATGCGCACCTTCCACGTCTTCGGCTTGGGCGACACGCTCTGGTCGGCTGCGGGCGGGCCGGACCACGTCAGGTCACGTGATGTCTCACCACGGCAGCGGCTTTGCGGCGCGGGCAGCACGACAAACACGCAGCGTGAAGAGATCGCCCACCGGCAACTCAGCGAAAGCGACATACGTGGCGATGTTAAACATGTCATCACATCTCTTGGGAACCTCCTTGCCTTTCACAGGTACATTAGTGATGAGCTACCTACACCTGCATACGCTATTGGGCACTTACGGACTTACAAAACGGCCCACTGACGTTGAAACGACTATGCACCTACAAGCTCATCGCGTAACCACAGCGATCAGCCGAGAGAACTGATCAGCTGCTGCCCCCCGTGCGACCACCTGACGGCCGGGCCTTTGCCAGCTCCAAGCAGCGGCACACGTACGTGTCTGGCTGGGCTTCCTCGTCTTGGCGTTGGGCCCCTGACCGGTGGGGGAGCGTTGCCGCAGGCTGGTCAGCTTCTTCATGGCCTTGCCGCTGGTGGGACTGAGCAGAGACGAGTCGGTGGCCGACCGCGAGGAATCCTCCTGCCAGGCACGGATAACCCGTGACAGCCGGGGGCGGTAGCGTCGCCCCGGGGACAGCAGATGCTCACAGCGGATTACGTCAACAGTGTCGGCAGATGCTCACGGCCAGCCTGGGAAGCCTTTGCACTGGGAAGGCTACCGATGCGGCCTTCGGACGAGTACCACCCCGGTCAGACCATAGCGCGGCCACACTGACAGACGTCAGGGTGCAAGCGGCCCCACCGAGTCCCATCGGACCGCACGCCCCGGTCCCCAGCCAGGGCGGCCGCCCCGCAACCCGCCGCGTCTCCACTGACCGGCACCACCAGGGCCTGGCAGACGGGCCGCAGCGCCTCCAGCCAGGCCTCGCGCTCCAGCAGGTGTTCCGTCTGCAGCAGGTACTCGGAGCCGGTGTGTGTCAACAGGCGGAACACGTGCTTGCGGCGCGTGTAGCCGTCGGCTGAATCCAGCTGGCACAGCGCCACGTTCACCGGCTGCTCCTCCAGCGACGACGGCGTCTGCGGACGGTCCAGGCAGGACGTGAACTCGCCGCTCCAACCGCCGGCCACTGCAGCCAGCGGCGCCGCACACGCGGCAGCGAGACAAGACAAGCTGGAGGAGGCCTTCGCACCGGAAGAATCCCCCGCGCTGGACACGATCTGTCCTTTTATGATACCGCGATAGGGCGCACCGACTGCGCAACAAAATCGCGACGTTCGACGCTCCGTGAGCCTCACGCTACCGAGCAGCCGGCAGGCGCCGGCCTCGCTCGGCGCGCGGAGAAGTCCCGACGCCTCGGTATCCGGGGATGGCGCAACCGTCGCACTGTGGTTCGGCCGGTGAGTGGTAGGCAGGCGACCGGCGACCGGCGACCGGCGACCGGCGACCGCGGGCACCCCGCCCGCCACCGCCGGCCACCGCCGCACAAATCACATCCGTGTGTCATGTTCACCTCCCTGCATCAGCCGCCGACAGAATTCCAACGACTTTTACGACCCAGGGCTGCGCGGACGCTACTCCAAAACGGACGAAGGTTTATGTTTAGGCTTGCAGGTGCCGTTCAGCGCAGCCTTACAACGGCCATTGGTTAGTGTTTTATGGCAGTCTACAGCGCAAAATCCCTTACATCAGCCGGTGTGTTGTCATACAAGTGTTCGTAGCATGGGAAGCACAGGGGATTTTCATGAGCCGAGTCCACAACAGCAACTAAACATTCCACGGGCGGGGATTGACGAGATTGTCCGAAGACGTGAGGTGAGCCAAAACCCGAAGCAACATTCGGCATACCAACGAGCCCGTTGAGGGCAAGAGCACCATCACTGCACTCCACAACAATCTGCAGCACAACCGAAGCCAGCGCTCCCATCACAGCCATCGAGGCACCGCACCCAGTATGTCGTGTCCACCGACCGTCAGCGCTGACCATCTCGGGCTTAAAAGGCACGTCGAACGTCTCTTTCCCAGCCCTATCCGTGGCGGTTGGCCGGCTCTCCCACCTGGTTGACCTCCTTGCGGTCTCTGTAGAAGGAGAGCGCGTCGCCGCGCAGCACCGCCCACAGCTCGCGCCACGAGCGGTCGGGCGCGCGCTTTCCGTCCATCTGCGCCAGCTTGACGCGCAGCCAGCCCTCGCGCTGCGCGTCGGCGGCCGGCGCCGACTGCGGCGGCGGCGACGTCGGCCACGTCGGCGACGATGGCTTGGTCGCGCGGATCGACGTGGACCTGGCGGCGACGACAACGGCGTAAGTGCGGGGCCGGGCAAGACGGACCGTCGCTGGCTCGGGGCCGGGCTGTCACGGGGAGTGACTCGGGGCTGCCACGGGGAGTGACTCGGAGCTGCCACAGGGAATGGCTCCAGGCCGACAAGGGGAGTGGCTCGGGGCCGACGCCGACGTCGGAGGGCTCCGGCTGCAAGGAGAGCGCTGAGCTCTGGACGCCTGTTGGGGAGGGGCGGAAGGCGGAGATGCGGTGCGCGGGGCCATGCGCGGTATATTTGTACAGTGGATGACACTAACCGTCCAATGAACGTGCAAAAACGTACGACCATTGACATCACATTCGCCGAGTGTGCACGGTACAATCGATGCCGAAGTGTCGTGTGCTAATGACGTGAACGGCTATAAACGTATGTACGACGTCTGGGAGCCGGAGAAGAACACAATCGGGGGGTTATGATTGCGCTTGAGACAACTAAACTTTTAAGGAGACCCACACAGCTGAGCCTGTGCGTCTAATGTGAATAACGAAAAAAATCCAGTGGGTAGGGGGTTTATGGCAATGTCGCTCCGAACAAATCAGCTGGCACGCATTCCAACATGGACCGACGTCTGAAAAAGGTCAGTCCACAAAGAAGGCGTCAGCAGCATCGCAGCCAGATGGCGTCCCATTCTGGAGGGCTTCGGAGGCCGTCTGCTAGTCACGGACCATAGGACGCCACCGACAGGGGGAGCAGCACAGCCATGCGCATGCGCCGAAGTCTCACCGCTCCAGTCGCTTCAACTGGTTTTGGGCTTTTTCCTCGAAGAAGTTTCGGAGTTTTTGGATTCGTCCCTTGGGAGGGAGTTCGCTGACCTTCCTAGAGCTCTGAAAGCTCAGGGAGAGCTTGCCCGGCTTACTGTTGGTGCAGACAGAGAGGTTCACTCGTCACAGGATTAGCAGGAGGTGGGGCGCGCGCGCCGCTGCTCTCGACAGCCCGACACTGACGCCAAGGAAGGCCGAGGGAAGGCGGGCACGTCAAGAAAGGAGGAACCGCAGGCAGTGCACCACAGTGGAAGGACTTCCAGGACAGTTACTGCCAGTGAAGGGGCATACCAGGCGCCGGCGACGAAGAGACAAAGCGACAGCTAATTCTGGCCACGAAACGAGCAATGCCACAACCGTTGGCGCGTAAGTTTCGCTGTTAGTTTTCGGTGCGGCGGCCAGCGTAGGCAAACATGCCGACGGGCAAATAACGCCCGCATGAGTGCATACTGCAGATGGATACATGTGCATACTTCTTCTGACTAGCTGCCATGTGGACAGTCCATATTATGGGGTTGGTCTCCAAGCAGCACGTTTGTACATGAAAGCAAAATCGTCAACTGGTCGTTAAGCAGTTTAAAAAAGCCACGGAAAGCCGGCGAAACTTCGCGACATCATGGCAACCAGAAAAGGAAAAAAAAACAGATAAACCAGAGAACTGCACGAACCAAAACCGCAGAGATTCAGAATCAAAGGCGAATCCAGCGCGAGAACCCGCAGTTTTAGTAGCACACCGTTATTCACGACACAAGGTGTACGGCGCAGGAGGCCAGCAGGCCGAGGCAGGTAAAAGGCAACGAGGAACACGGAGGAGAGCGCGCCAGCGCCGCCGCTGCTCTCACCGCAGGCCCCGTCCAGGCACACGGGGTGGCACAGCCCTGGTAGTCACAGCCGTACAGAAAGCCCCAGCGAGAGAGGACGCCGCCCGGCGGCCAACGAGAGGAGGAGGGGGGGGGGGGGGGGTCAGTCGGGTACTCACCGATCCTCCTTGGAGCCCGTGTGGAAGAGGCCGTCGCCGGCGGTGGCCTTCAGGTAGGAGATGCGCCTCACCGTCCGGTCCGTGTCGTCCTCGCCTGGGGAGCGGGACAGCCGAGTCAGAGGCGCAGGCAGGCACCGGTCACAGCGCGACGGCATCGCTGGCCAACAGGCGCCAGCGTCACCAGTCATCGCACGCAGGCATCAGACCCACCCTGCCCGGCCGCCGGCCGCTGGCGGTGCTGAGCAACGCGGGGAGCGCGGCACCCAGCGCAGATCTAAGGGCAACCACCGGGCAAGGGTCGGGACACGAGCAGACCGGCAGTCTAGGAGGCAGATCACCACAGCAAACGCCGTAGCAAGAGGCGCTCCGACATCCGGAGCGAAGCCAAATCAACGACCGATGAAAACGCTCGTCCTTGTTTCGACACAGCTCCTTCGATCCGAAGCCTCCCAGACCACCACTCGCTCTCTCATTCACCAGCATCAGATATACTGAGCGAATAGCGTGGGGCAGTCAGGCTCGCACATCGGCATTCAGAGGGCGGTGCATAATTCATCGTCCTATAACGAGCGCAAAGAGCCAGATAGAATCAGCCACGGTGCACAACTCTATCGGACTCCGATCGGATTCTCGATTCCACACGCGGGAGAGGCGTGCGGAATCGGCAATCGGGACCTGCAGTCCCTGGAATGTGCGACTCCGGTCCTGAGGAGCCGGTGAGGTATTCCGGCCGAACCAGCGCGTCCTCCTACTCTAACGGAGGCATTCCATCGTTGTTACGGACTACAGCCGGGCGGCAGCCTTCAAGACAGCGACGTTCAACTTCACTCTAAGGGCAGTTGTCTCTCCACTGTTTTCTTGGTTACGTAACGACGAATAAGTCCGTTTCGACCATCAGCGTGGGGTTGTTTAGCCGGCGCAATCCCAGCACCTCCCCGGCACCTCGGCCGACGGCCGCCGCCTCTGACCGTGCGCCACATTCGCCAGCGCGCAGGCTGAGTCACCAGCCGATTACCATTCCGGCGCGGTCGGTCGCACCGCGTTTTTCCCTGCGCAGGACGGCGCCGCGTCAAACGCCTTCATCATATCCACACGCAGTTGGCGGCGGCCAGAGGACCGAGGAGAGGGCCGGGGAGAGGGAGGGGGGGGGGGGGGGGGGCGATCGTGCTCGGCATGCGACAATGACCACCGACAGATGGCGCTGCCATCGCTCCGGGCCTGCTCCGACTGGGGTCGGCGCGGGGCCGGCGGGAGAGGCCGGCAGCGCCGCCACACCGTCCTCGAGCGTGAGCGCCTCGGGCCCGTCGGGCCGCAGACCCTGACTGCCGCCGCCGCCACCCGGACCGCCCGAGACGAGCGGCGCCCTCGACGCCGGTCGGCGGACGGCCGCCGGCTGACGAGCGTCGCACCGAGCGCCGCGGCAGCCGCGCCCGTCTGGACGACCCCGACAGAAGCGCGAGCACGGGGTGATTCATGGAGGCAGCACGGGCTGGCGCGCCCACCCAGCTGTCGTCCGGGCGCACCTGTGTGATATTGTCGAGCCGTCCAGGCCAGATAACGTCTCATAACCGGCTCTGTCGGCTGCACAACAAGCCAGGGTGCGCCGCGTCCACCACGGCCGGCCAAAAGGGCTGCGTTCAAGGTGTGGCCGCTCTTGCGATGAAAGCCGAGTGTCTAAGCCTGTCAGCTACGGCACGATACGTGTCGATACTCCTCTCTGGCAAAACAGGCTCCCGCCCTTTCCCTAGACGTGGCCTCCACACACCACACGCCGGTGCAAGAGCGGCCCCGGCCCCGGCGAGTATTGGTGCAAACAAACACAGCAGACCGCTTCGAGGGTTAACGGTCCATTACAAAGCTCAGCTCATTATGCAATGGTGTCAATATCGACGTGATTATTCATACACACTACTACGTGTCCAGTAATCTTTTAACATTAAAAACAGCGTCTGGGCAATCCAGTTCTTCAAACAAATTGCAAATCCAACCAAATCCAACAAAGAGCAACAACACTAGAACTTCGAGCCCGCTGAAGGCCGACCCTGCGCGCTGCCACGCGTTCTGGCAAACGACGTCTAATACACCAGTTCTATGGCAAACCCAATACACACCACGAACAATCCTAAGACTAACCAGCAGCTCAGACAACCAATCAGCAGCGTCGACCCCAGCTGGTGCCCGGCAGGCCGGTGCCAACCGGCCGTGCCCCGCCCACCCAAGCCATCCGGCCCAGCGTCCGGCAGCTTCGCATGACGAGCGGCGCCCGCGGCGCGCGCCGCTCGCGTGGCGACAAAAAGCGGCGCGGCGCGGCGTCGGCGGCGCGCGTGACGTCGCCCGTCGTTCCATGTCGCGCGCGTCCGTCGGCCCGGCAAATCCGACATTCGGCGGTGGGCAAACAGACGCAGAAAAAGCGCTGTTCTCACACCATTTCCCGACGGCCGGCCCGTTAGAGCAGCGGTCGGTACGCCCCAGGGCATAAGCGGGTCAGCGGCGGCCCACATTGCGCCGCGCCGCGCGGCCGCCGGGCGGCGCCACCGGAGCGCTCATTACCGCCGGCGCGCCAACAATCATCGCTCGGAGCCGGGGCCGCTTGGCCGGCAGCCGGGCAGATCATTAGCACGGCCGCTGTCGAGCGCGTGTCAGTGGCCGGACGGCGGCTCAGCCGCACGTCCTGCCTCGACGGCCGCGCCCCGGCGCTGGGAACGCGGCGGCCGCCGGCGCGCGCGCGTGACCGGAGCCTTGCCAGCGTCCGAGCTCCCTCTCTCCTCTACCGCCGTCTCGACTCCTCTGCCGCCGGTGGCGCCGCAAGACCGCCGGATTAGCCCGACTTTAGTGCTGTACGCTGATTACACAAAGACGCTCTCCGGATGTTTTTTTGGCCATTGATGGCTGGGCTGGAACACCCCAATTTTTGTTCTGCTGTGAAGTGTTGCAGACAGGAAACCATCCGTTTCTCACAAAGGTCGACCAGCGGTCGCGATCGATGATCAGCAAAACTAAAGTGTCGGTGAAAGGACGGGTCGATGACCAAACCTGCGTGACATGCGACTTTAGCTAACATGGTTAGACCATGATCACGGCTGCTCAACTTGCTAGCTAAGTTGAACAAACTGAAAATAGCCCTTGAACTGCCTTGAAGTTTTCTTGAAGACCAGCAACACGTCACGCCTGTCCTGGTAGAAATGACGGCCCTTGCAATATCGGGCCGCTTATGGAACACATCGATAAAATAAACCCACGACCACACCACCGTTCGACAATGCAGATAACAGTTTCCAAAACACGCGCTATCAGTTGATCGAGAAACTATCCAATTAGTGGAAAGCGACAAAACGCTGGCCCAAACGAGGCACCGCCGTCGCCCCAGCCGCTCCGTAAACACGCAGGGAGCGGCTGGACAACACCAGGAAAAAAGGAGAGCGGCCGGCGCGCCTTCACGGCACCATGCGGGAGCGAGGCGCGCCGGGCGGGGCGGATCGGGCCACCCGCAGCCCAGCCGCCCAGCTAGTTCGGCCATTAGCGCCCTGCTCGGCGAGAGGAGGCGGCCGAGGACGCGTCTGCCCGCCCCCGCCAGCTGGCGGGTCGGCCCGGTGGCCGCCGCCGCCGCCGCGGCCAAGGTAGCGCGGTGGCGGCGGTGGCGGCGGCGGCGGCGGCGGCGGCGGTCTTCCGGCCGGCGTCCGAAGGGCGGCAGGTCGGCCGGCTGGCCCGGTCAGATGCGACGAGCGATAGCGCCCACGCCTCGCGTCCCCGGCCGGACGGCGGGTGGGGCGCCGCGCCCCGCGCCGGGACGCGCTGACCGGTCCGGTTCCGGTCCGGCCGCTCCCCAGTCTGTGTGTGTGTGTGTGCTGCCGGCGCGGCGCTGTGGATATCCGTCGCCGACGCCCGGCCCGGGCCGAACGCCGCATCTCGGCGGCGCTTCAAGCCGCGCCTTCCCGACTAATCCGACAGCCGGCGGATAGCACAGGCCATCACACTAACAACCTCCGCCGCTGAGCCATGTAATCCGGTCGTGATGACGGCGCCGCCGTTCGAGACGCAGTTCCATCATCCGCGGTGTCGGCCGCCCCGCCCGGCGCCGGTCCGGCCGCTCCGTCCCGCCCGCGCCGCCCCGTCCCACCGCCCCACCTGTCCCTGTCCGGCCGCTCCGTCCCACCCGCGCCGCTCCGTCCCACCGCCCCACCTGTCCCTGTCCGGCCGCTCCGCCCCACCCGCGCCGGTCCGGTCGCGCCAGCAAGACCGCCGTGCGCTTCCGTCGCCTCCGCCGGCCTGTCTCCGCCCGCTCCAATTCCAGCAGGCGGGCCGCCGCTGCCCCCTGGCCACCTGCGAAGGCCGTGCGCCGGCCGGCGAGGGAGGCCGTGCCCTCGCGGGACCCCGCAGGCGACGATACCATCGGCCGGCCGGGCCCACTCCGCCGCTACCAATCCGTCGGACAAGAGGCAGGGCTGCGCGGCGCGGCAGCTCCACCGCCACTCTGTTGGCGTTCCCCACGGCTGCGGACGAAGCTCCGGCGTGGTTTCGGAAGGTTTCGGCGGGATTTCACTGGAGTGGGGTCGCAGCTCTGGCGGTGGCGAAGCCTAACGTGACCCGTGCCGGCCAGTCGCCGTATCCCGATCTGACCGCGGATCGGCGTCAGCTGCGCTGCAGCCTGCACTGCAGTCCATGACCTCCGACACCAGCGAACCGAGCCCGCCGGGCTTTCAAGATGAGGCCCGTGCCGGTTGAGCGCCGTGTAACGCGGCCCGACGGGGATCAGGTCAGCGGGCTGGTCAGTCGCGCGCCGGGATGCCGCCGAGGCGAAGCCGCGTGCCACCGTCCCGTCCTGGAGCCCGGGCCGGTGCCGCCCGGGAGACTCCGCCTCCTTCCCGCGCGTCTCTGACTGCGTCGGCCGCCGCCGTCTCCGGGTGTGATCGATGCCGCGCGTGATGCGGCGGCGGCGGCGCTCGACGGCCGGCCGCCGAGCCAGGGTCGGCCTTGGTGGCGCCGCCGCCGGCCGCCGTCATCGCAGACGGATGGGACGGGCCGCGACCGCCGGCATGGCGACACAGACGGCACGGGATCACTAGACTGGTGGCTGTCGCCACAAACTGCGACAAC